TGGGAACGGGAACTGCTATCATGAAGGTGAAAACCGTTTCATCCTTTCCAATTTAGTGTTTTTTCCTAACTGTTGCATGTGTGTGCGTGTGTGTTTGTTTATTACACAGTGTCGTAGTGTGTAATGTTCATCCTCGAGGAGTGGGGGGATCTTAAACCAGCAGAGTACGTCCGAGCCTCTTTTCGCTGTTGCGGAAAAGAACTGCGCGCCAAGCTTTGGCCAAGCGCCAACTCGACTTTTTTTTTTTTTTGGGGGGGGGTGGATCCACCACCCATTTTGGATCGGTTTGCACTGTTCACCGGAAGTTTTTGGAACGACTCATTTCCGACTCCCAGTTCAATTTGAAAGTTTTCAGAGTGACTCATTTTCAATTCCCAAGTTTGACTGGGCGGTGTACTGGCACCTGAAACCGCCACTACCTTTCTCAGTGTTGGGAAAAACGGAAATAAATGTCACACCGCATTTTTGGGGGGTGGGGAAGAGGGTCGGCTAAAAGAAAGTTCCCGCTTGTGAAAAGGGAAAAAAAAAAAAGAAACAAAAGTGCAGTAACCCTGTTCAGCAGTAGACCGGGTCTCAGAACGTTGCCCCCGGTAAAGCACAGACTCATTTGTCTGTGCTGGGCTATGTGACCGAGACATGCCCAGCCTGAGTCTGTCGAGGAGGCTGTGTGACCGAACGCAGCACAAAGGAAATTCAACAGTCAAAGTCAACTGTAGAGTCAAAGATACCGCGTCCAGGCCTATGGTCGGATACATTCACTTGTTGTGTGCAGGTACCCAGACAGCATTCAGGGCGGGAGGAATACAGTTTCTGGCCAATCTGGGCCCTCCTTCACATCGAGATCTGGACGGTGCAGTACTTCAGCACCCGGGGTCCAGACCCCGCATCCACGCTACTTAAGAGTTGACTTCCTGGCTGGAGAACATTCAGTCTTGTGTGAATGCTGACTTCACGCGTGGACTTGGCACTGTTGCTATGCTGCGACATTGCGACATTGGCTTGACGCCAGCTATATGCTGGCAGAGGAGGACGGCAAGGCGCTGCTGGCTGGCAAGGTGCTGGCTGGCGATGGTCTTCTGGGCATGCTGATGTGGCAGCTGCCACGCGCCGTTGCTGACGTGGCCGCTGCCACCTGTATATGATTGATGGCGTGGCGGGCTGCGAGATTGATGAGGCTGTTCTGATTCTTCGTCACTTCGGAAGGGGATCAAGACTGTGGTTATCGAGGATACGTACCTGGTTGATGACGATACTCTCCATTTGCTGATGTAGACAGATTGACGTGCCACGTGGCACCTTGAGGADGAACTTCAGACATTGTATTCAGTCTATTGATTGATGAGGTGGCGAGGAGGAGGAGGAAYCCAAAGTAGAAGTGGGCTGTTGTCTTCTTCTCTCTCCTTTGTCTATTCTCCCTCTCTCCTCCTTCGTCTGTGTATGATTCTCACCTCATTCTATCATCACACACATTTGCGATTGTTTGTCATTCATCAGCAGATCGATAATCATATGGACTGGTAATGTTGACGAGTATCATCACGTCTGGGCTCATTGCAAAAGTAATGAACTGAAGGGCGTAGGGGAAGGCAGTGAGCGAGGTGTGCTCATGGCAGTGCTGATAGGAATGAATCGAACTGCCCTCTACGTCTACTTTCAGCTTGTGTTTTTTTTTCGTTTTTTGTCTCTGCTTTTGTTTCGTTTTGGTCCCCCTGCCCGCAAGGCAGGGCACTTTGCACGGACGCCTGACACAGCATCTCACCTGAAGTCCAGATTCTGTATCTAACCATGGAAACGTCTAAATTGTAGCTGCATTTTGTTTTTTGTTTCGTGAAGTAGCAGTCGTGATGACTGCGCCATTCTAACTGCCTGGAGTAGGGGATGCTCTCACACGAACACCAAGTTCTGTATCCGGCTGTTTTCATGTCTATAGCGTTACTGCTTTTTTTTCTTGTTTTTTTTTTGTTGTGATTTTGGAAACAAAGTGCAGTGATCTCCGCGGCGCTATTATGCCCTCACTGAGGGCCTACAAGCACCTCATATTCAGTATCCAACTTCTTTCACGTCCATATCCTTGTTGCTCTTTTTTTTTTTTTTTTGTTTCCGCCAGGGTCACCAGCCCGTACATACGGAGGTCAGCGGGCCGACCTCCGTACGTACGGGCGCTCGGGGTCCCGTTCAGGGTCCGAACCCAAAGGCGTTCGGCCCCCGCCAAAAAATATTTTGAGGCCTAAAAATAAGTTTCTTTTTTCTGAATTTTTTTTAGTGAGTTCTCTATGATGTGAGGTACATGCCTAGAAATTTTGAAGTCATTTGGCTGATCCAAATAAGAATTAAAAATCGCCAAAGATGGCGGTGTCAAAACGTGCTTGCCCATGTTTTTTTTTCACTTCTTACTTTTTGTTTTCACTTTAGTTTGGGGTCTTAACAATTTATTATTTTTTGAAACTTTTTTATTGGGTTTCGTATTATGTGAAGTACACATCTGTAAATTTTCAGGGCATTTGGCTGTGCCAAAAAAAAAAAAGAAAAATCGCCAAAGATGGCAGTGTTGAAAACGTACTCGCGCACTCACTAAATTTAATTCTCTTTTTATTTTTTTGTTATTTTTATCATTAGTATTTGTTCTCCGTATTTTATTTTTATTTCAAATTTGGTAAGGAATTTAGATGTAATGCTCATGCAAATCTTGTTTAATTTATTGTTCTTCATAACATATCTTTTTTTCAGATTTTTTTTTTTTTTTTTTTTTTTGATCCGCGTTCGGCCCGAACGACCGAACGCATCCCCAAGGGGTCCCATACGTTCGGGCATTCGGCCGTCCCGAACGCTGGTTACCCTGGTTTCCGCTGTTTTTTTTCGTTGTTCACTTCGGACGAGTACCACCGAAGAAAACACATTGGGACTCGGGCTCGGCAAAACTCGGTGCACAGTGGAATTCAGGTCGGTAAAAACAGGGTCGGAGGTGGTGGTGGTTTAAACCACTACTCCCTCCGCCACCAGGAAATATCCCTCCCTGTGAGTTTGGGCGGGTTTTTAGGGAGGTCGGCGACCAGAGGCCGAAACGGCAGGTCTAGTCCATCAATTTTAACACGGCCACTTTGGCGATTTTTCGCACTCAGAAGAATTCACAGAAAATTCTGAAAATTTGAGGGTCGGTAAATTAGGCCGTGATCTTTCCAGGAGAAATATAAGAAAAAAAAAAAAAACTATTTTGAACGTGAAACAATCGCCGCGCCGAACGGGTGCATGTTGCTATTTTGCGACTGTGCCATTTATGGGCCAACGGGAAAAGTACTCCAACTTCAGCGATTTTTCGTGCTGCGAAGAATGTATCAAAGTCTCTGAGAATTTGAGGGTCCGTAGATTTGCTCGTGATCTTTCCAGGAAAAAAAAAAAAAAAAGATTCTCTTAAGAAAACACGAAATAAATCGCGGATGCAATTCAACACATTTTCAATTTTTGCCACCATGTCTGTTTTTCAAACTGTGCTACTGGTAGCCCTAATGAACCTGTGCTACCGGTCCCCTGAATTCGCTGCCGTCGGAGGGAGCGGTGGCTTAACACTTGTTGAGTTATGGTTCATGCTGTAACTTGAAATTTAAAATAATTATTATTTTTCTTTGAAGATATTTTGGCAAAAAACAACAAAAACAAAACAGGTTTCAACTTTTCTTAGTTGTGATGGATGAGATGGCAGGAGTGCACTGCCGGCTGGCCCCCCCCCAGCTCCGCCTGTTTGTATGCACCATCCAAGGCTTTATCAGCTCTCACTCCATGCATATGACTTCCATCTCATTTTGTTGGTGGATGGGTGTGGCTTGGGAGCATTGGCTGCTTTGGTGCTTTGAATTCAATCATTCGACGACTTCTTCGTTCTCACTGGATCTTTTGAGTGTGTATGAACCGTGGTTGTCAACCGGACGTCCGTATCGGGATCCAGACGGTCCGGTCTGGATGTCCGGATCCGGTGTCCGGTTTGGGGGGTCTTGTTGGGCCCCATTTCTATAAAATTTGATTTTTTTTTTTTCGGGGTCCCCAGGCGATTGTCCAGTGCCTGGTGGACCCCCGAAAATTGTTGACGCAGTTTTTGGTGGACCGTTAGTCCAACTGGACCGGCCCTGAAGGGTCTGTACTTGCAATCTTGGGTGAGCTTCAGCGGGCCAAGGAGAACTGGTTGTGTGTGTGTGTGTGTGTGTGTGTGTGTGTGTGTGTGTGTGTGTGTGTGTGTGTGTGTGTGTGCGTGTGTAACACGCACAGGGACTGTATTTGCAATCTTGGGTGAGCTTCAGCGGGCCAAGGAGAACTGGTTTTGTGTGTGTGTGTGTGTGTGTGTGTGTGTGTGCGCGGCACTGCGTGTATGTGAGTGTGTTAAAGATAAGTCGCATAATACAACTACATCATCGTGTGTGACACTTTGTGCGTTTGTGTGTGTGTGTGTGTGTGTGTGTGTGTGTGTGTGTGTGTGTGTGTGTGTGTGTGTGTGTGTGTGTGTGTGTGTGTGTGTGTGTGTNGGCACTGCGTGTATGTGAGTGTGTTAAAGATAAGTCGCATAATACAACTACATCATCGTGTGTGACACTTTGTGCGTTTGTGTGTGTGTGTGTGTGTGTCAGTTTGTGCGTTTGTGTGTGTGTGTGTGTGTGTGTGTGTGTGTGTGTGTGTGTGTGTGTGTGTGTGTGTGTGTGTGTGTGTGTGTGTGCGCAGCACTGCGTGTATGTGAGTGTGTTAAAGATAAGTCGCATAATACAACTACATCATCGTGTGTGACACTTTGTGCATTTGTGTGTGTGTGTGTGTGTGTGAGAGAGAGAGAGAGAGAGAGTGTTAAAGATAAGTCGGATGATACAACTACAGCATCGTGTGTCTGTCTGTTTTTTTTTCGTTTTTTTTTTTTACTGGACATGGGGACCGATTTATTTATAATCGTCCGGGTCCGTATGCCCAGTCCGGATCGGTGTCTGGATTACCGGACGTCCGGATTAATCCAGACACGGGTACGGCCCCGTTGTCCGGTGTCTGGATGTTCGGGTCCGGGGCAACCATGGTATGAACCTACTGTAGATGATTGTAATCTCCTGAGTCGCTTTCATTCTTCATAAATCCAGATTCAGTTGGGGACATGAATGAATGTCAGGGGCTACCCACCCTCCCTGTTTTTTTTTTTCTTTTCAAAGCAAGAAAAGAATAATTATTCACAAATGTGTTTCGACTTTTCTTTTCTTTCCTTTGGCTGTGAATGTCTTCACTACAGGTAAGGAAGAGCTGCAGTGAGCGGGTAACAGAGCTAAGTGCAGAGAAAGCAAGACTGGAAGAAAAAGTCAAGCTGCTGCAGGTAAAGTCTGCTCAGTTATTATTAGGTGAATCAAAGGGAAAACAAGGAGAAAGGTGGTGGTCTTGCTCTGAGGAGGTAGTGGTTTGAGGAAAGGGGGCGTATGGGGGGCGTGCAGAAGAGGTCAGGAATTAGGGTGGGGGCGGGGAGAGGGAGAGACTTCGTTCATTTGTCATTCAATCTCACAACTGGAAATTCAACGATGTGAGCAGAGACGGATGTGCAAGGAAGGTACTGGAAAGGCGATGTGTGTGTGGGGGGGGTGCAGAGAGACACACACACACACACACACACAGAGAGAGAGAGAGAGAG